GTTGATCGTAAGAAGTGCGTAAGACAGCTTCGGAGCTGTCGTAGGATTTCGCCGTAACCTGCGCAAAACGTACGAAAATTTCGTTTCGCGAATACAAATTTGTTCTTAAGCTTTGTCTTACGCACATTTTTGGCGTAAGATCGTTTCGTGAATCTGGCCTCTGCACTGCCGAAAGTCGCAGGAAATATAAGACAGACGCAGACGACATTGCGAGCAGACGACGTTGCAAAGAAGCAGACGACGCTCAGATAGGGGGGCGCGATCAGCCAATAAGGGCTCGGAGTTCTGACGTCACCGCTACCCCCTGCGCAAGAAGCAGACGAACTTGCCCTCCGCATAGGACGTTGCGTGATTGAAAAATGGCACGGACAATATCAGAAAAGCTCGCTGTTTCGATTTGTTCAGAAGTCTACCACTTTGTGCCCGTGTACAGCATGTTAGAAATATTTTGTGCTCAATTATTCACTCAATTAAATAAAAAAATAAAAAAACAATTTTCCAAGGAAAGCATCAAATGCCTGACAAACGGCAAGTAAAAAAGGCATTTTGGGAACAGCTTTACGGAAAAGGTTCTACTTACATGGTCGTAGTGACGCCGTTCGGATTTCAAACGCGATTTAAATTCTCTCGCTTTTTATCCTCCTCCCTGACTGTGCGTGATTTTGTTGAGCCGGTCATGGCGAACGCACCAAAATGATGAGCACAGGCACAATGCACTTTTCTTCGCCGAATGATTGGCTTTGTCCAATCATATCGACCGTGACGGCGAACCTCAAGTGAAATGGAGTATGAAATGAAATGAAATGAAATCTTCATTTTCAGAAATTTACTCTGGCGGGCCTCCAAGTAAAAAGCTATTATATGGTGACTTGACAGGGTCTGGGAGCCCTAAAGCAAAACAAGCATAGCAATCTGGCAGAAAGTTGTGATACGCTGAAAAGCCTCGTTGTTCAGGATATAGAGTTTTTCTTACCAACTAGGCATGTGCCGTAGTAACAATAAACAGGATAAACAAGTGAGAACGCAGGAACTTTCGGCAGCAAGCATATTATGCGAAAGCGAGAAAAAGAAAAATGTCATACAGGACACCCGCGTTAAATAAAACATGCATAAAACATACACAGTACAACGTAAATAATTACTCTTTAGTCAGAAACTACATATCTATGTTTTCTCTGGGACAAACCCGCCGTTTCTATGAGAGAATCACGCAGCCTCTATGAACCAGAAAAACCTAATCTACTCAACGAGCAACAGAAGATAGGTCTTTTTCAAACGTTTGCCGTTCAACTCTGGTGTCGGCCATATTTCGGGCGTTACTTTTAATGAGAAGCGTGCGATTTATCCGAGTTTGCGGCGAGCTCTGCCGCAGTACTCGTGTTAATTGCTCGCTGAATGTGCATGCCTGAATTATGGCGGATAATGAACGCTACATGTACTAGAGGGCGCGCAATTTTGAAAGGTTTTTATTGATAATCATACATTCGAAAAGCGCCAAAAAATACAACAAAACATGGGCAAAAGGAAGAATTGGACAAAAAAAGTGAAAGCCGTTTACAACTTCCTGTAACGCCGAATTGGAGCGCAGCTCTTGAGGAGGAGGAGTGGAGGGTATATTCCTCCTCCTCCCTCGTGATCATGCCTGCTAGTCCTCCTCCCCTCCTGCTCCCCCTCCCTCTCCTTTACCACCTCCTCGTCCTTCAAGCTCCTCCCCTCCCCTCACCTCCGCCTCCTCGTCTCTCCTCCCCCCCTTCTCCACCTTCGTACTGCTTTCCTCCTCGCCGCTGAAGTCATGTGACCCCCTCCCCCCGAGGTCACGTGACCCCCCGAACCAGACAATGAGGGGAGGAGGAGGAGGGGGAGGAGGAGGAGGGCAGAGGTCCGGGGTGTCACGTGACCTCGAGGGGACGGGATCACATGACCTTGGGCGGGCCGTCACGTGACCGGCGGGGGGAGGGGTCACCCCCCGGGGTCACGTGACCTGGGCGGGGGAGGAGGGGGGAGGAGGAGGAGCGGGGGGGAGGAGGAGGGGGAGGGGCGACGCCGACGCCCCACAGGCTGGAAACGGGTCATGTGACCCCCTCCCCCCGAGGTCACGTGACCCGCCCGGACCATACTACACAATGAGGGGAGGAGGAGAAGGAGGGGAAGAGCAGGAGGAGGGGAGGAGGAGGAGAGGGAGGGGCGCGGTTACGCCGACGCCGACGGCGACGCCGACGGCGACGCCAACGGCGACGCCGCTCAGGCTGGAAACGGGCCCCTAAGAGCTGCGCTCTAATAAATAAAAACATGCTCTCCTGGCGCAATAGACGCAGTGGTTGAGGTGCCAGCTGACTCCACTGCTATTGAAGTAATAGGGCAAAGATACGCTAGTTGATCATTTATTGAGATAAAACAACAGAGCGCTAAAGGCTGATTTTGGAGTAGCCATAAATATTCTAAGAATGCGAACCACTTCATAACGGCAGCCACGAGTGAGAGTTCAATGTTTGGTACAGCCCGTCGGTACAGCCCAGAGATGGAGAACGGCAACCTCCCTGTTTGTCGTCTGCTAGCAGAGTCGGGCGCGTGCCCTCTCTCGTTTTACCCTGCCGACCCTGCTGAACTTCCCGGATGTGTGGAGAGGGTGCTGTGGTCTAACAAAATGGCGCCGCCCTGAGAGAACTAAATGGAATGGTATATAAGCTCGCTACGGAAGCCAGAGTTGCGCATCTGTTTTCCACGTGCCGCCGCGCCGCTATTCGCCGAGATCCGATCACGTGAGGAGCAGACTCAAATGCCGTGCAGGAAAGTAGACGTTGCGTGCGCCCCGGCGTACGTTCCCCTGCTTCAGTCAGATCCTCATCTGAATTCAGTCAGATGAGGAGCAGGATCAACGTGTCGTGCAGGAAAGACTGCGCTACGGGGATAAACACGGAACTCTGGCTCCCATAGGGAGCCTATACAGGAACTCTGCAAGCACTGGTACCACAGATCGAGCAGCACCTACCTCTCCATGCTTATGCCGGAAACTCTCAGCCTCGGGGTTCGGCCGTGGTTGGCGCCAGGCATGTAGCAAATGGGGGGGCCCATGGGGCTTGGCCCCCCCCCCCCCCCGAAATCTTCCATTTTGCTGGGACCTCCTGTTCCCCCTCCCCCTCATACAGCATTTTGTCATAGGTGGCCCCGCCCCCCCCCCCCCCCCCCCCCCCTTGCCCGAAACAAAATCTTGGCTACGCGCCTGGTTGGCGTGGTCTCGCGCGGCGAGATGCAGCAGTGTCCTGTGAGCAGTTAGAAACAATCTCGCTCACCAGGGCTTGCACAACTACATCCTCTCTTTTCCAGAGTGAGGGTAAAAACCGGATTTTAAGCCTTGTTCAACTTCTTGCTAACTGTGCAGCGATATTACCAATTCTAAGCAGTCGCAAGAGATTAAAATCTGTTTTTGCACCCTCCGGTCATAAGCAGTCACGAGTTTGTGAAACAGCCATTAGAAACGTTTCATTTCAGTTAATTTATACCGCTAAAACGATATCAGTTTTGAGCAGTCAAAGCAGGGTCAATCGAAACTTCGAGTTCAGACCAACATCCTTTTGCGAGTTCTTAATAAAGTATTCGCACGACTAGGTTTCTCCCTGAGCACAGGATTAAACGTCATCGAGCTCTACTAAACTCACTAGCTCCGCATCACAAATGTTCTCAAATCCCCCCAGCTCGTGGGGAGCCGAGAGTAATTTGTGACCGGCCGACAGAATATCTGTTGTTTCGTCAGAGCGACCAGGCCTCCCCTTTGCCCCCCTGCTTTTAGCAAGGTACAGCAGTTAACAACATTTAGGTGGGCGCCTTTTTAAAAAAAAAATTAATATGCTTTTTGTTTGACGAGTTTCCGAAGGTCGTTAGCACATTCGAAAAAGGAAAGACTCCGGCAACTCCGACTCGGTTGTGCGAATGGTTGCTTGATATTTCTGCACTGCCTCCTCCTTCTCGTTTTTTCCATCTCGAAGCTCTACGACATACTCAATTTCCTCCAGCATTAATGATCTCTCATGAAATACCCCGTCACCATTATGCACATTTACAAGGCGATCAAAAGCCTTTTAGCTGCACGAGCAGTTTGTTTGAAGCTCACTACCCATACAGGCATTGTATTCGATCGACTTGTCTTCCTTTTTTCTTAAAGGGGCACTAAACCAATGTCTGCGAAAGTCTATTTACGGTCATAAATGTGGACGTGTCTGCAATAGTTCCCGAGGAATCGATTTCTGATGCCGATTTAAGTAGCAATAGCTGCTTAAATTGGTTAAGTGCTTCTTTAATTTTTTAACAGACAATTGCTAACCAACAGATTAAAGCAGGCTCCTCTGTTCCGTGCAATTTGCTCCGTAATCAGTCGGTCAACTTTACCGTCAAACTATATCTTCTATCTGATATGTTTGGTATACTATCTCCATCACGTGAGCGGATAGTTGAAATAGCTGCAAGGCTATGTCCTTTTTATCAAAGTAGACCATCTTCTGTGGTGAAGCTAAGGTTCTTGAGAGGCAGGTGCTTTCTTGTGGCCCTTGTGGGTTGCTCTTCACACGTCCGTTTGTAGAGCAAGGTTTAGCATGGTGACGGGGTATCTTTTTGGTGGTAGTCTTTATCCGTGCCACAGTTTTCAACGACATAAGAGCATTATTTGGTTGACTGACACTTAACTTGGTATTGTGAGTCAAGTAGATTGTCACGGCTGTGCTCATCTTCTTTGCCAATGCTTTCAAAATATTGAGAGGTTATTGTCTGATTGGCCACTAATTGTAACTTGGCTTTGTTAAAATTTTATGTCCTCTGATTCCGAGTTATCAGGTTGTAAACCAGACCGAGGTGCCTGCAATTTGACAGGCTTACTGCTCTGCAAGGTCCATCAATCTTAACAATACCTAGGTGGTTGAGATGAATCTTCAAAGCTCTACTCTAATTATTTTTATGATTTTATTATTTTTGTTCTAAGTGATGGCTTCTTTTATGCTTTGTATTTTCAGAAGTGGGCCTTCAACTCCTTCAGCTGGTGCTGCAAGCCTGCTGGCACAATTTGTGGCCCAGGTGCCAGAATGAAAGCTGAAAGCACTGTTCGAGTGAGAGGACCAGTGGCCCTTGCGCAGCTCGAAAACCGGACCGGGCAGTCATCAGAGCTATTTATGTTCTACTTCCAATAGCTCCAAGATGTTTCGTTGGCACCCTTTAATGGTTTCCGTCCGTGATGTCACAAACAGAATTTCCCTTGTCCTGATTGGCAATATTTGCCTCTACCTCCCTGTAATTGGCAGGATTTCCCTCCCCGTTAGCCGGCATTTGGGTAAGCATTATCAGTATTCAGGAAGCTATGGTTCGGCGGATCGCAAACCCAACTACAGCGACGCTTTTTGTCGCGCACGTTGCTAATAGTCTGCGTCACTAGTTGTGTGCAGTGCAAGCGAAGCAACTCCAGGCAAAAATAAAAAAGGGCAAGCACTAGGAAGGCTGGACAGAAGAAGAGGGCGAGGCGAGAAAGAGAGAGCACTAGGAACGTTAGAGAGGAGGGTAGGTTTCTCCCCTCCCCAACCTTTCTAGTGCTTGGCCTTTCTCCCCTCGTCTGGCGTTGCCTTTGTCTGTCCTTCACGTAATTATAGTCTGTTACAACTCAAGAATGTAAGGAAAGGGAAAGGAAGGCCGGGGAGGAGGAAGCAGACGAATTGCTGGAGAAGAGAGGAGGAAGTTTTTCCCTCTTCTATCTAGCATTCCGTCTGCTTCCTCCTCCCCGACCTTCCTTTCCCTCGCCCCATCTTCTTGAGCTGTAACTTACTATAATGAAACAGGGTATACGGGACATGTTGCTTTTTGAAACAATCAAGACTCATGAAAGATTGATAAGAGCCTGTTGGTATGGTTATTTTAATTTTTAGTGGAATAGACCGATCTCACTTAGCATTCAGCGCATGTGTGGAGCCGTCATAACTTTAGTTCACAAGAGGCAGGTAGCAGTGCTTGAGACACCTCGTGCCGTCTCGCGCTTTGCAAGCGCAGAGCTCCAGCGAGGTTGGGGCACATGCAGAAAGACGATAGTTCTCTTGATGCATTGCAGCAGCAGTGGCTTAGCCAAACTGGCCTGTGAAATCAGTCTATTACAACTAAAAAAATTGAAATTATTTGTATAAGTTAGGCAATTCCTTGTTATTTATTTGCCAAATATAACTGTTAGGTGTACATCCTTTAAAGGAATGCTGAAGCAAAACTTTGATTTCGGGAAACAACGCAGAGGCGCTAGGCGGGACGCTACAAACCTGAAAGCATCACGCATAAATCGATATTTCTAACGGATGGTTGTATTTTTGTGAAAGAAGAGCATGCTTGAACAATGGCCAAAAAGGCCCGTGACGTCGCGATTCTGGTTTCCTCCTTTTCTCACTTTGACTCCGCGAGGACGCGAAAAGGGAAAGAAGCAAAGCCGTTTCCCCCCTTCTCAACTATTCTGCAGGAAACACGATGTCGCGATTCTCACTCATCGCATCCTTATTTTACAAAAATATGGCCATCCGTTCGAGATATCGCTTTATGAGTGGTGTTTAGGGGTTGGTGGCGCCCCGTTGAACACTCCTGCTACCTTATTTTGTGAAATCTAAATTTCTGATCCTTTCCTTTAAGACCTGTTCACATTAGCACTACACCTGTGCTGCCAAGTTATTAATCTTGGTGAAGCTTTTAAAGTACTGCATTAAGTCGGTTTGGGGATGCATCACGCTACGATTTACGACAGAGGTGCCCGAAGGTATTGGAATCACTGCATCAAAAGCTCAAAGAACAAACTTACCTGAGTAAAAGGTAAAAAAATGACTATTTTTTTCTGCCTACGGCGCCCGTCTGCTAACTGTGCACCCTTTGACTGGCTCAATAACTGAGAGATGGCGACATCAACCCTAGCGGCTTGTAGCTGCTCAGCAGCCGCCAAGTCACACCAAAATCGGACAACCTTTTTGAGTCATAAATGGTGCACACTTTTTCGGTGCTATAATTGTCAGAACATTATTTTATTTTCACCCCCAATAAATCACATTAAATGGACACAAAAATAATCAAACCGATGGTTCGTTGAATAATTTCAGCTACATGTGGTGTGCTTTTGGCATGACCGTGGAGCTACTGAACTGCCATAAGGCGTCGGTGCCGTTGCCGCCATCTGTCGGTTGTTGTGCCAGTCGGAGGGGGCACATATACTAGCACACTGGTGTCATAGGTAGCCAAACCAGTTTTTTTACTTTTTAGTCGGGTAAGTTCATTCTGTGAAATTTTTTCTGCGATGCTTTCACCACCTTCAGGCACCTCTCTGGTAAATCGTAGTGCAATACATTGTGAAGCCAATTTGTGCAGTGATTTGAAAGGCTTCACCCAGATTCGGGGCATTACAATAGTGCAGTAAGTGCTGGGAATAGTGATGATTTTGCTCTTTGTTAATGATCTGATGCTCATACACTGCTGTATCAGTACTAAGTTAAGTTCAAGTCAGCACTGTTTTACTGTTGATTTAGCTCTGTGCCGTATATGTGAGCTATCCCTTATAGTCGTTTCTCAAAAAGTTGATAACTCTTGAATGTTTGCAGTGCACACGATTATGATAATGGGAGTGCTTTTGCTTCTTCTGCCTATTGATTGTGCGAGAGTGAAGAAAATTATAGTTTGTAGGAGTAAATCGCTAGAAATGTATACGAATTTCAATTTCTTAAGCTTACATGCAGCAAGACAGGTATCCTACAGTTTTTGCAATAGGTCGTTTTGTTTGGTTTGACTTTTTAAAAGCTTGCAATAAGCTGTCAATTTTTCCGGCTTTCAAAATTTTTACATGCTTGATGACATTTTTGCAGGACTGTCACTCACTCTTAAAGTTACTGAGACTATGAAACGATGGAAAAGGAAACTAGCACAGAAAGGTAGATAGTAATAAACATGTTTAATGTGAACTGTTGAAAATAAGGGTGTACCTTGGTCTTCCTTTTTTTTTTAAAGGTTATTACAACAAAATTTTAGCACTAATTGTACTGTTTAAATGTTAACCATGTTCTGCCCACACCATGGAGACACCGATTTTTTTTTTGCTAAAAAAGACGACGAAACATTATTTAAATAAACCAAATACTGTCATGTCACACCACATAAAAGCAGCACCGCTACACGGGAACATGGTGGCAGGCTGTGTGCGCCCGAGCCCTGTCTAACTTGGCTGAACCGGTTTTCTTTTTTCTCCCGTGCTTATTCAACTCCTGCGGAGAGCGAGGAGGGACAACTCAAGCGGCCAGCTTGTAGTGCATTGACATCATCAAGTGGCGAAGCTCACAGCCACGCCAGCCCCCATATAGCCTTGATTGAAGGAGAACCAGACGTCACGAACGTGTAAGCTCACAACCACGCCAGCCCCCACGTAGCTTTGACTGAAGGAGAACCAGACGTCGCAAACATGATGCATATCGGTAGATCTTCTGAGACACGTTTTAGATGTTTTGTGTCTTTTTGAGCAAAAAATTGGTGTCTCCACTGTATGGTCAAAGCACGGTTGACATTTAGACAATAAAATAGGCACTACAATTTCGTTGCTATATCACTTTAAAACGATTCTGCCCTTTTACCATATTTTCAATATCAGTAGTATTGATATTGCTTTGAAGAAACTGTCTTCAATTCACTTCTTGAGAAAAGTCCACTCTCCACCTGGTTTGCAAGGTTCATACGATAGCGTCGGAAACATGTGTTGTGTTGATTGTGAGTACATTTTAACTTAAATGTTTGTGCTTGTTTGGTTACAGGTCCCTTCCAGCACTACGCAGGAAAGAGAATGGCCAACAGCGGACTGATTGCAGGAAGAGTAATTCCATCTGCCGCTACTACATATAACGAGCAAGCTGCGACGTCTAAGAAGGAGCAGTCAGAGCGTTTAACATAAATAAGCAAATCTGTGACTCTCATATTATGTTTTATCAAATTCTGTTAAGTTTGAGGTAATCTATTTCCATATTTTAGGACTGATTAAGGAAGAACTTTGAACTTATGGTATGGCTCCATCAGGATGTGGTGTACCTCATTGCCGTCTACTGGATTTTCCACATCCACTATGTAAAGAAGGCACATAAGATGCTGACTTTCATTGAACGTGGTTTTGCCGACTGCTACATGAAGCCACGGGTGAAGACACTGGAATTGATAAATTTCTACAGAGCGATCGTGGCTTGTGTACCACAGTTAGCCTAGCGTACCCTACATTGTAATAAATACCCCTGTCAGTCGGGCATTTAAATGGCCTTCGGAATGAATTCCTTCAAAGAATCGGCAAATCAGTTCACGATCTCGGCTTCGCCTGTGCCCTTTGGTGTTCGCAGACATTTTTTGAGGAGTTTGCTCTGAAGGCCATTTAAATGGCCGTCTGACGGGGTATAAGCCAGTTTGCGCCCAAGGCAAAATGAGCTCTTGTTACACGACATGTGCGAAACATATTCATAGTGCAATAAATTTATTTCGTGCATTGTGCTACCTGCTTATGCCTTTCCTTCCACACTTGCTGGCTTTGAAGAAACTCCTAGATGGATGCAAAGGAATACTCCCGTAGGTATACGACTCCTAGGAGGATGTGAAAGAAGACTCCCGTGGGTCCACGTACTAACTCCCAAATGGATGTGAAAGAATACTCCCTTAGGTCCCGGCAGTAACTCCCAGGTGGATGTGAGAGAATAGTCCCATAAGTGCACGTAAAAACTCCCATATGGATGTGAAAAAATAGTCCCATAAATGCACGTAAAAACTCTTATATGGATGTGAAAAAATAGTCCCATAAATGCACGTAAAAACTCCCATATGGATGTGAAAAAATAGTCCCATAAATGCACGTAAAAACTCCCATATGGATGTGAAAAAATAGTCCCATAAATGCATGTAAAAACTCCCATATGGATGTGAAAAAATAGTCCCATAAATGCACGTAAAAACTCCCATATGGATGTGAAAAAATAGTCCCATAAGTGCACGTACAAACTCCCATATGGATGTGAAAGAATAGCCCCATAAATGCACGTAAAAACTCCCATATGGATGTGAAAGAATAC